TTGCCAAAAGTTCAATTGATCATTCTCTCAAGAGAGATCTTTTTAGAACCACAAATTATATAAACCATGATGAACTCTAAATATTGTTCTGTTTCTCATTGGTACATTAAATTGTATGTTGCTATTTATTCTACTACGGATATTTTCCATTTTTGATTTTATAATTTCTATTTAAAAATCTGGTAGGGTGCAAATCATCTAATTATTGGGATTTAAGTAATGTGTCATAAATTAAGGCAGACACTCTTTTCGATACCTTTCATATATTAATACATTACACAGATTAGGAGACAATACTTGGAATTGTTTTTAAAAAAACAGATGTGACTTTTCATGCCCTGGTGATTTATTGTTTTTTTTTAATCTAACTTCTTGTTGTGAAATGTAATTTGACAAGCTCATTAGTCAGCATTGCTTCCTCTTTAATTGAGAAAGATAAGCATTTTGCTATGTCTGGGAGGAAGCTAGATTCGTAAATGCTGTATAGGTTGTAAGCGTCTTCTTATGGTTATCTAAAGGGTGTTATTAATAAGGCGTTTATTAGTTCAGATGGTCATATGTTAAGTCTGTTTATTCCATTTTAAAATACAGGCTGAATTTTGTTATTGTTGTTCCAACCATGAATAAAGTAAATATAGACTTTGTGGGTATAAATATCACCCAGTTTGGGCTGTAATTGAGTGAGTTCTATCCTATATTCATAACATGTATTTTTAGCTATCAATGCTGTCTTTATGCTTAGTACAACAAATTCTGAACCAGAAGAAGTTACCAACAGAAGTTGCAAATTGTCTAATTGCATATTCTTCAGGTTTTATCCACTGTCACTATTTCTAAGTAATTCTAAGTCATAAAAACAACACAATTGCACAATTGCTATAAATGGTCTCAAAAGATCACAGAAATACCAGTTTATGGTTCTCAAGTTAGTATAAAAATGTACAAAGCTTATGCACTGTGGGGAGCTTGTTAACAAATCTTTAATTTATTAAACATCTTAAAACCATTATCTGTTATTACACTATGTCAGTTTGGTACTGGATTATTGACTATTTCAATCTTTAGTGGTTCTGTAACTTGTCCTTGTTCTGTAAATTGTTCTTCTTGTCAAAAAAAAGAAAAAGAAAAAGAAGTAAATAGTAAGGAAATAATGGAAGTAGAGGGAAAAAGTGAGTTTTTATTACATTTTAAATTTGTTGCATTTCAGTACACAAAAATCCGTATTATAGTAACGATAAAAGGTATTTGTTGTATTATTATTGTTTTTTTATTTAAACTTTTGATTGTCCCGACCGTCATTTCACCATCTTAATGCTGTGAATATAGCTCCAAAGGAAGAGCCTAGTTTCTGGATCCAGCTCTGTATAAACCCTGAACAGAGGTTCCACAAACCATTAGAGAGTTTTATAATTAGGAGACAGGCAGTTAAAGAGTGGTAACTCGAGTGGAATAATTAAAAAGATTTGAATGTATTTCAGTGAGTTCTAAGGGAGACCTCTTGAGTGGCACATTCGCCTCTAGCCCACAATTAAATTCCAGCGCCCCCGTGTGGTGACTAGTGACACTGCTCCATAGCGGGTGCCGTCCGTTAGATGAAACGGTTAACCAAGGTCTTGACTTAATTGGCTGTTAAAAGTCCCCATATCATTTATTGAAAGAGTAGAGGTGTTGAACTGGTGTCCTTGTTAAATTACAGTCTGGGCCTGTACAATCTGACCTTCCTGAAGTTTCCCCTTAACTCTTTAGGTGGGTCTCCTTCTAAATGCAGAGCATTCTGTGATCCTTTGGAATGATCGGTTCTTTATAAATGCAATGAAATTATTATTAATATATGCAGGCTCATTGCAATCTATTTTTGACGACTTTTCAGATTATCTTACTAGCTGGGAAGAACAACATATATGATATGTTTAGGTGGGTAGCTGCGTCAGCATGCGTAGGCTGCAAAGGAACAAGTAATAGGTTTATTCCATGCTGAAAAAAAGAAGAAAGAGAACACAACGTTTCGGCC